GCAAGACGGATGTTTACACTGCGCGTGTTTCATACAAGTGGAGCAATGCTGCACAGCGCATCTGCCACCGGCACTTTTTATTCGTGCTACTTTCTTGGAGCAAACTGGGTAGTTAAGGCACACCTGATCTGGGCGGTGCGCCACCTTCGGCATGTCGGCCAGGACAGGAAGGCGCCGGTCGGCCGGAGGCCACGGCTGCTTGAGCCGCGGAACTGCGCACGAGCAGGCGAGGATGAGGATTGGGAAGCCAAGCCGGCAGAGTGAGGGAAGGAGGAGAGGAAGGAGGGAAAGCGGAAGAGGGAAGAAGTAGAAGAAAGAGGAGGGGGGAAGGTGAAGGGACTACTGGTGAACAGAGAAGACAATGTGAACGTCGTCCTCCTCCTCCACCTCTTCACCGTTCTATCGCTCCCCGATCTCCTCTCTTCCTCCGTCTCCTGGACGCCGCTTCTTCGAAGAAGAACCCTGCTCCTCCTCCTCATCATCATCCTCCTCCTCCATGTTCTCCCCGCTCTCTTCAATCTCCCGCGCCTTCACTTCCTCCACCTCCGCTCCTTTTCCCTCCTCGTCCTCAGCATCCCTCGCCACCATTACTTACGCCTCCTCATTATCATAATCCATGGTGTGGGTCTCGTGTGGCCATCTTTGGGCTGTCTTGGGGCCTTGCGTGGCCCTCTCGGGCGCCATCAGGAAGCGTGAAATCAATGAAAAACAATTTGGTTTGCAACACTTTGTTTAAACGTAAACGTTTTGGGAGATGCTGGGAGCCAGTTTTTGGGGGCGTTTGGGGAGCCTCTTGGATGCATCTGGAGGTCTCTGGGGGACGTGTTGGAAGCAATTTGTTGGCCTCTTCGGGGCCTCCGGGGAGCCTCTTGGGGGGCTATTGGGAGCCTCTTGGGGCCTCTTGGGGCCTCGCGGGGCTCTGAGTCCCAAGAGGGCCGTTCGGACGAGGCAGCTGGCACGATCTGTTTTTTCTATGGCCCTAAGAAGCCTTACGGCCAGAGAGAAAACGTCGGGCGGCTCGGTACGTTTTTCCCCCCCCGTAGCCCTAGGACGCTTTACGGCCGAAGGAAAACGTTAGGCTCTAAGGCCAAAGAGGACCATTCGGACCAGGCAGATTGCACGATCTGCGTTTTTTCTATGGCCCTAATAAGCTTTACGGCCAGAGAAAAAAACGTGGGGCGGCCCGGTAAGATTTTTTCCCCCGTGGCCCTCTCGGGCGCCATCAGGGAGCGTGAAATCAATGAAAAACAATGTGGTTTGCAACACTTTTGTTTAAACGTAAACGTTTTGGGAGCATCTTTGAGGCAGTTTTTCGGGCCTCTTGGGGAGCGTCTTGGATGCATCTTGGAGGCCTCTGGGAGCGTATTGGAAGCAGTTTTTGGGCCTCTTGGGGGCCTCCGGGGAGCCTCTTGGGGTGCTCTTGGAAGCCTCTTGGGCATCTTAGGGCCTCGCGGGGCTCTCTTGGGGCTCGCTGAACTCGCTTAGGCAGTCTTGGAGCCCTGTCGGGGCGCTCCTGGGGCCGTCTTGGGCGGCTCCTGGGCCGTCTTGGGGCCCTCTTGGGCCGTCTTGGGACGCCTTTGGGAGCCTCTTGGGCCGTCTTGGGGCGGTCTTGGAAGCCTCTTGGGCTGTCTTGGAGCGGTTTTGGGAGCCTCTTGGACGGTCTTGGAGCGTCGGAAAGCCGAAAAAACGAGAAGACAAAAAACATCGTAAAAACCAATGAAAATCAACGATTGTTGCTTCTTGGGGCCCTCTTGGGAGGCCTCTTGGAGGCCTCTTGATGCGTCTTGGGTGCCTCCTGGGCCGTCTTGAGGCCATCTTGGGCGTCTTGGGACGATGTTTCGGCGACCTCGGGCCGCCTGCGAGCAATTTGAAAGCCTGCCGCACGTACCCGGGAGAGCCAAGAGCCGCCGAGGGGAGAGGCCAGAGGCCGGGTACTGAAATCAGTGCACCCCGGGCCCCCCGGAACCCCTTCCCCATTTATATATATATATATATATAGTACCCAGACCCCCGACGTCGTGATTTTTTTCACAACGTCGACCCCCAGAGGTCTGGACCCCTCCCCCGTGACCGGCTTTTCATCCTGAGTCGTTTTTGACGGTCTCGAGGCCCGGTGAGCGCCCCTGGAGGCCGAAACTGGCAAAACACTTCCCGTCGTGATTCTTTCATAGCTCGAGGGGGGGTCTGGGCACAAGTGCGTTGGGGTGACGCCGACAATATTCGCAGGCCTAGAGGTTGACACCAGTACCAATATCGGCGGCGTGCCTCCGCCGAGGGAAGAAGATCCCGATCTCGGTGGTGGTGGTGATATTATGGCTTCCAAGGTGACCGAAATATTGCCACCAACACCGAAATCTAGGATCAGATCCCCCATGTGGATGCAACCCCCTGGGCCGTCCGGGGGGCATCTTTTGGAGGCCTAGAAAGGGGCACCAACACCAACACAGGTCTGCTGGCCGGCCGCGGGGGGCCGCGCCCCCGGGTCGGCGCGCGGAGAGACGCGCCCGGGCAGACCCAGCGGCACGGGCATTGCGGAAGTCGTCGTCGTCGTCGTCGTCGCCGTCGTCGTCGTCGCCGTCGTCGTCGTCGTCGTCGTCGTCGTCGTCGTCGTCGTCGGCGGCGGCGGCGGCGGTGGCGGCGGCGGCGGCGGCGGCGTCGGCGTCGCTCGCCGCCGCGGAGGAGGTCGAAGTGAAAGTTCGCGGCGCCCGTCCGAGGCCGCCACCAAGCAGCCAAGGGATGCCCCGCCCCCGCGGCCGAGGCTCCTGCCCAGAGGCCCAAATCGGGCCCCGAGAGACCCAGGGAGGGGCCCCAAGATGATCCTCCCCAGAACCGCCTTCAAGAGGCTTGCCCGCTCGGACGTCCCTTCCCTCGGCACTTTTAGGTCTCGCGCGTGTCATTTTCGCAAGATGATCCAGGATCACCTCCTCCTCCTCCTTCTCCTCCTCCCCCCCCTCCTCCTCCTCCTCCTCCTCCTCCTCCTCCTCCTCCTCCTCCTCCTCTCCTCCTCCTCCTCCTCCTCCTCCGCCTCCGCTCCGCCTCCTTCTCCTCCTCCTCCTCGTCCTCCTCCTCCTCCTCCTCCTCGTCCGCCTCCTCCTCCTCCGCCTCCTCCTCCTCCTCCTCAGCCTCCTCCTCCTGCTCGTTTCTCGATGGTCCTCGCCCCCCAAACACGCACACGCCCGAGCGATGCCGGGCCGAGAGGCCTCCCCCGAGAACCCCGCGCTCGTTGGGTATGCGGCCGCTTGGCCCAAAAGCAGCGCTCGCGCGGCGGAGGGGCGCCCTGCGAGGCGAGCTGCGGCACTGAGCAGGCGCGGCGGGAGGCGGAGGGGGTCCTCCCCCTTGCCTCCTCCTCCTCCTCCTCCTCCTCCTCCTCCTCCTCCTCCTCCTTCCTCCTCCTCCTCCTCCTCCTCCTCCTCCTCCTCCTCCTACTACTCTTACTTGGGGGGAGGGGAGACCGCGCTCAGAACGTGCAATCCTTGTGCGCGGGTGCCGGAGGCGTGCGCAGCGAAGCGGAAGTCCTTGAGGGAGCGGAGCGCGAAGCCAGAAGACGACGAGAACCCCACACACGTTCCAGGGGCCTCCGGCCTACGGCCCACGCGCGGTGGCGGGATGGGCCGCACGCCACTGGATCCGCCGCCCCCTGCTTGCAGGGGTGCACGGCGTGCTGGATGATTCAGGTTTTGGTTTTGGTTCTTTTTCTAAAAGAACTCCCCATAGTCCCCCCGACGTCGACTTGAGGAGCCGCCAGAAAACCACAGAGTCGATCCGGAGCTCCGAGCGGTTCTCAGCGTCTTGACTGTGGGGCACCCGCCTCCACGCACCGCGCCCTCGCGCCGCCCCCGCCCCTCGCGCCGCCCTCGCGCCGCCCCCGCACAGGCGGAGTTTGGGCGAAAAATCAAAAGTACCCAGAAGATGCCCCAAATAGTTTTGAAACAAATGCTCAAAAAATCGTTCCCAGACTGTGTCTTGACCATCTTTGAACACTCCTCCTGTAGAGGGACCGGCCCGACTTAAAGCTCTCCGCGCCCTCGCGCTGCCCCTTACCCTCGACAGCAGCGCCTCGCCCTGGCCGCGGCGCGCGACCAGCCTGGGCCAACGCAGGCCCGAGTCGGCCGGGGTCCTGTTGCGAAGCCAGGCTGGCCACGCGCAGAGGAGGAGGAGGAGGAGGAGGAGGAGGAGGAGGAGGAGGAGGAGGAGGGAGGAGAGGAGGGAGGAGGAGGAGGAGGGAGGAGGAGGAGGAGGAGGAGGAGGGGAGGAGAGGAGGAGGGAGGGGAGGAGGAGGAGGGGAGGAGGGAGGAGGAGGAAGGGGGGGGGCTTCTTAGAAGCCCTCCCCCCTCCTCCTCCTCCCCTCCTCCTCCTCCTCCTCCTCCCCCTCCTCCTCCTCCTCCTCCTCCTCCTCCTCCTCCTCCTCCTCTCAGAAGCCCTCTCCCCCCCTGTGTGCGCGCCGCCAAGCCAGGCCGGCCACCGAATGGCTCCCGAGCCCGGGCCAGCGGAGGGCAGACGGGGGGGAACCGCCGGCCCCACGTGGCCCCCGGCCAGAGAGGATTGGCTGACCCCCTGCTAGCGCTGACCCCCGTTGCGTGAGGCCGACGGAAGAGGAGGGGGAAGAAGAAGAAGAAGAGGAAGAAGAAGAAGAAGAAGAAGAAGAAAAAGAAAGAGAAGGAGAAGGAGAAGAAGAAGAAGGAACTGCATAGACATAAACTTTCGGAGCTCCGAAAGGATTTCTTGGAGCCGCGCTGGACCAGAGCGCGCCAGGGGCAGCGCCGGAGGCGCCGCCAGGGGGTCCCAGGTGCAGATCCACAGCTCTTCTTCCTCTGTCCTCCTCCTGCTCAGGACCCAGGATGGTGGACATTGGATCATTATCAGGAGATGCCCCCGACCCCTACCACGAGAATGGGAGCGGAGCGCCGACTATCTTTGCGCAGGCCGCTTCCTTCCAGATCAACGATGCACTGGTCTTCCCCCCTCCCAGCGGCTCGCCCGAGGCGCGGGCGCGCCTTAAGCAGGCCGGCCGACGGCGGCGAGCGTGATCTGACGTGCACGTGGCCTCGGGAGTGCCGAGCGGGCAGAGGGTGAGGTGGCCTCCTTCTCCTCCTGCTCCTTCTTTTCCTCCTCCTCCTCCTCCTCCTCCACCTCCGACGACGATGACGACGACGACGACCACGACCTCCTCGTCCGCGCGCGCCCCAGAGGGAAGGACGGCCCCGAGTGATTGGAGGTCCCATAACGAGCCCCAACATCAGCACAGGGAGGCACCCCCACCGGGGGAAGACGATTCTGGATGTTGGCGATGGTGGTGGTAATCTTTCGACCACCCAGGAAGCCCGACGATTACCACCATCACCGAGATTAGGTTCAGTCCCTCGGTGGCGGTACACCGCCGATATTGGTGTTGGCATCAGACTCTAGGCATCCACAGTGAGTGAGCGAATGGGAGCCATTGAACAAAGAGAAAGACGCACACATCTATACGTGAGCCAGCGTGGTCCCAAACAATCAGTTATTACACTGTGGATATGCAAGCTATGTGGTGCAAGCTACGCATTTAAGCTACAGTCGGGGCGTTGACCTAAGGAACCCTAGATAAGGAACGAGGCCCCTTTTTCCCATAAGTTAAACTCTGATTTTCCATGGAAAACCAAAGGCACTCTGTAAACAAATCAAGGAACACCGAGCCCCTCGCCAACGAGAAGGGTTCCTTCTTCAGCGCCCCGACTGTATGTAGTACAGTAAATGTGGTGCAAGCTAGAGGCGGCATCGAAGCAGCAGCGGGCGGCAACGTTGCGAAATCTCGTTATATACCCACCCAGCGCACGAAGCAGCAACGAGGCGGCAGCGGGCGGCAACGTGGCGAAACCTCGCCGGACCCACCCAGCGCACGAAGCGACAACGAGGTAGCCAACGAAGCGGCGGCGAGGCGGCACTAGGCGACAATGTGGCGAAATCTCGCGGGACCCACCCTGCGCACGAGGCAGAAACAAGGAGCAAACGGGCGGCGAAGGGGCGAAACCTCGCGGGACGTACCCAAAACACGAGGCAGCAACGAGGCGGTAACGAGGCGGAAACGGGCAGCAACATGGCGAAACCTCGCCAGACCCACCCAGCGCACGAGGCGGCAACGAGTCGGCAACTGGCGGCAACATGGAAAATCCTCGCCGGACCCAACCCATTCCTCAGTGAGACAATAAGGAACCATCCAAGGGCAAGCTCTGCTTCGGGAATCCATATATATATATAGATATACACATACATATACATATATCAATGTACACAGACATGCGTATTTACATGCATACACATACATACGTACATACATACATATATATACACGTACATGCATACGTACATCAATACATGCATGCATGCATGCATGCATGCACACCTACATGCATACATACATTGACATACATGCGTACATGTATGTGCCTGTATGCAGATTTCTATATGTATATATATATATATATATAGAGAGAGAACAAACAAACAACACATAAAGAGATGTACAAACATACATCGGAAAATCTATACATATCCCCTCCCTATGTTCTAATACTCTGGGACCCTGCGAACCCCCCCTCCTGAACGGGACCCCTCCCGATCCCTGGCCTTGGGGTACCCTGGACGCCCTTGCAGGCGGTCCCCTGTGCTTTCCGGAGCTTCTGAAGCACCTGGAGGGCCTAGACAACGGGCCCAATTCGGTCAGGAGGGCGCTCCCGAATCATTCCAAGTCGTGACCTGGCCGGGGGAAGTCCCTATAGGCCCCCAGAACGAACCCAGGAGGCTTCCAGAAGAACCCATCAAGCCCTTGAAAGCCTTCGTGAGGCTATCCTAGGATGAGCCTATGCAATCAGAGCTGAGGATGGAGGCGAATTCGCAGGGTAGGGAGAGAATGAGGAAGAGGAAGAGGAAGCATGAGGGAAGGATAACGAATAACATGATTGCAACGACGACGCCAGAAAAGATAACAACGAGGTATGGCAAAATGTTCCTACCCGATTGCCCTCCTGTCTGCATGCCGAACCTCAAGGGCCAAAGTGCATGGCGCGAAACGCCAATGCAATTTTGTATATATAATATATATATAGAGATATTGATATGTATATCGAGAGAGAGGACGAGAAAAAGAAAGAGAGAGCGAGACAAAACTACGACCCATAATACTAATACGACTGTAGTATGAGAAATGAGAATAATACTACGAATGCAAATAATATCAATCATGGTAATAAGCATGCTAATGATGATGTTTGTACTATTAAGATACAAACATGATAGTAGTACCAATACGAATAACGATCATGTTAGTAATAACACTGATAGTAATAAGCATCAGCATCATCATCACCAGCATCATCATACGAAGAATAGTACGAATACTAAGAACGGTAATGATACGGACAATAATAATACTAATCATGATAGGAGGGGGAAAGGGAGAGGGAGAGAGAGAGAGAGAGGAAGAAAGAAAGTGCGAGAGAGGGAGAGAGAGGACGAGAGAGACAGAGAGAGGGACACGAGGGACAGAAAGAAGCAGGGAGGGAGAGGCAAAGGAAGGGGAGGAAGAGAGAGAGAAGGAAGGGAGAAAAGGAAGGGCGGAACAAGGCAAACTTGGGGCAGCGAAGCGTGTGCGGGCCAGGAGGGCAGCTAGCGACAGGGGGCCCTCGTCCCTCCCCTCCGATCCTGTCGTTTCCTTATGTGGTGCAAGCTGCGCGGTGCAGCTAAGCTCGACGGTATCCGCGTGTGGCCACCTCCACCTCCAACGCCCGTGCAAACATGCCACCTATCCACCTGCCCGCGACATGTCGGCGCCAAATTCAACGGAGCGGCCTCGTGGCGACTGTGCGGACGATGTCGGCGACGTCGATGGTGATGACGATGAGAACGACACTGGCAATGATGGCACTGACGATGACGATGACGATGGTGGTGATGATGATGAGAATGATGATGATGATGATGATGATGATGATGACGACGATGATGTAGATGATGGTGATGATGATGATGACGGTGGTGATGATGATGCTGATAATGACTATGTCAATGGCGATTATGATGATACCGACGAAGCAGATGATCATATGATGATGAGGATGTTGACGATAATGGTTACGCTGATCGTGACTGATCACCAATAGGGGCTCAAGCAGCCACGCAACGCCTCTGACTAACTGTTCACAAGCTCGACCCAGTAATATCATATCTTCGTGAGCAGCGAGCAAGACTGAGATAACGTCCAAGGCGCTCTCAATCTTGCTCTGGCTCTGGATAAGAAAACCACCTATTTCAGGCGATGAAGCACTCATGGGATATTGCCTCTCCTAAGAGATCTGCCGGCGAGGGAGCATCCAGCCGCGCTCTCGTCCGATCCCGATCCCCTCCGTCTCCACCCGAGCGCTAGTCTGTTGCCAGCCTATGTTCGGGGACGCTGTAGGTAGGCACGGGGGAGAAACGGGAGCAGAGGGATGATGTGGAGGAGTTGGTCGAGAGGAAAACCGAACGCGTGAGAAGGGGGCCAGCAACGTCAAGAGGCTGACGCACGCGTCGAAGCGCCGAAAACGAGTGCTCGATGGCACGTTGCTCGGGCGCGCTGCGGCTCGAGCTCAGTGGTGGTGGTGGTACAGCATGGACTCGTACGTCGGGAACGGATAGAGCCCCTTCTCCAGGAGTCCCTCCGCCTCGTCGACCAGCGAGCGCACCTTGGCCATCTGGTCCTTGACCTTTTCGCACAGGTACTCGGCCTCTGCGACCATGTCGTGGGGAGTCTCTTCCATCATCTTCGCCAGCTTCTCCGTCTCGGTCTTCACCGAGGCGTACAGCGCCTTGCGGTTGCCCGCCAGGTCGGGCGCGTCCTTGTACAGGGCCAGGTCCTGGGCAAAGGCTGGGATGAACGCAGTGTTGACCATGTCGACCATGGTGTTGGCCTCGATGTTGAGGGTGGTGTTGTAGGCCTCGTACATCACCTCGGCCCTCGCTTTGGTCTCCTCCTCGGTGAAGACGCCCAGAGTCTCGAAGAGCTTGATGTTCTTGTCCGATGCCCAATGCTTGATGGCCTTCGGTGTCGTGTTGAGATTGGAAAGGCCGCGCTTCTCCGCCTCGACTGGCCACTCGGCGGAATAGCCGTTGCCGGTGAAGATGACGTTGCGGTTCGTCTTGTACATCTCGGCAACGGCGTCGCGCGCTGTTGTGCCGCCCTCGATCTTCTCGGAGAGTGCGCTCATGCCCGCGGCCATGATCGTGTTGCAGATCATCACCGGGAAAGAGCAGTTCTGCGAGGAGCCCACCGCGCGGAACTCGTAGCGGTTGCCGCAGAAGGGGAAGGGCGCGGTGCGGTTGCGGTCCTCGACGTTGGACTCCACGGCCATGGATGCCTTGCAGCCGGTTGGCTGCAACTTCTTCTCCGCCTTGAACTCGTTCAGGGCGCCTCCCGCGATCACCGCGTCCACGTGCGCCTCGAAGCCCTGGCCCGGATAGAGCGAGATGATGGCCGGGGGCGCCTCCTGGGCCCCGAGGCGGTGGTCGTTGCCTGCGTGCGCCACGGCGCAGCGCAGCATCTCGTTGTACTGCATGATGCCGTGGGACAGGCAGGCCAGGGCCGCGGTATAGATGGTGCGTGCTTCATCAGTCTTGCCGGGATAGAAGAAGTTGATGCCCGTGTCGGTCCCGACGGACCAGTTGGCATGCTTGCCGTTGCCGTTGATGCCAGCGAACGGCTTCTCGTGGAAGAGCACCATCAGACCGTACTTCGCCGCCACCCTGTTGCAGGTCTCCATGAAATAGACGTTGTTGTCGGCCGAGAAGTTGGCAACACCGAAGACCGGCGACATCTCATGCTGGCCTGGCGCCACCTCGTTGTGGCGGACCGCCATCGGGGTGCCCGCCTTCAGCATCTCCTGCTGCACCTCCACCAGGAGCCGATCCACGCTCGACGGGACGGGGGCGAAGTAGTTGAGGTCCATCTGCTGGCCCCGCGTGGGCAGCTTGCCGAACAGCGTGCGGCCAGTGTTGACGAGGTCGGGCCTCTGCTTTTATAGTTTGTTTTGTTCTTAGTTCCATTTGTTATACCATCTTGATCAATGTTTCTGCTTATTATTGTTATTATTATTTGTTTGTTGTGTTTTTGACGAGGTCGGGCCTCTTCTTGTACAGCGCGGCCGACACGACGAAGAACTCCTGCTCCCAGCCCAGGTACGAGCGCAGGCACTTGGCGTCCGAGGCCAGCCCCAGGGCCTTGAGCAGGCGCAGACCCTGGGCGCTCACGGCGTCCTGCGAGCGCAGGAGCGGCGTCTTCTCGTCGATGCTCCGCCCGAAGTGCGTCAGGAAGGAGCACGGGATGCGGAGCGTGGTGCCCACGATGATAGGGGGCCACAAGCGAACCCTGCCCCTACCCCGCACGACTTCTGCGGGGGAGGGTGGGGTTCACTTCCTTCGGGAGGTCACGAGCGAAGTGAACCCCACCCTCCCCCCTCAAAAGTCGTGGGGGGTAGGGGCCGGGTTCGCTTGCGGCCCCCTCGATGAACGGCGGCGACGTGCGGTCCCACACCGTGAAGGCGGCGGCGGAGTGCGTGACGCGCAGGCCGCCGTTGGGGAAGGAGGAGCCGTCCGTCTCGCCCTGGAAGAGGCGCTCGACGGGGAGCACGGGGAAGAAGGGCTTGTTCGCGCTCTTCGACCCGAAGTCCATGTCGATCAGGGTGTCCATCTTCAGGGCGCCCACCGCGCCGCCCACGGCGCCGCCGCCCCCGCGGCAGGGGAAGAACCAGTGGGCGAAGTCGGTGCAGCCGTGCTCCCGCGCCCACCGGAACAGGCCCTTCGCGATCGCCGCCTGGTCGCCCTCGGACGTGGGGGCCCCGGACACGAGGTCCTCCTGGAATTTTGGGTCGGGCACGTCCCCCCTCTCCAGTGGGGGGTTCTGGACGAAAACTTTTAGAGATCCTTCCACAAATACCCCCCCAAATGGTAAAAGGTGGCAGGAAAAACCGCCCCTGGACCGTTCTTTACGATTTTCAGATCGTCCCCCTGTGGAGGGACAGGCCCGACTTGATCCTGGAACTTCTGGAAGACCTTCGGCGGGACGTACTTCTTCATCGTGGCGTCGTCGAAGATGAGGGACGCCATCTTGGTCATCACGTCGCCGCCCCTGCTGGGAGTCTTGGGCTCGGCCTTCGTCTTCGGCTCGGCCTTGGCCTTCGGCTCGGCCTTGGCCTTGGCCTTGGCCTTCGGGGCGGGCTCATCCTTGGCAACCTTGCACTCGTCCCTCCAGTACTTGCTGATCTCCTCCTTCGTGTACTTGCCAGAGTACGCCTTAGCGAGCTCCTTGAGCGTCATGGCCTTCTTGGTCTCGGGGTCGATGCGCTTCTCGGGAGCCATCGCGAAGACCTCTGCTGAACCGTAGGCGGGCTTCCAGCCTCGTTCACACCACCAGCCACAAGCGCGCCGGAGATCACAAAACAGCTTGAGCCAAAATGGTAATGGGCCAGTCTGAGGCCGTCTTGGAGGCCTCTTAGTTTGTTTTTAGGGCGCATCTTCACTCCTCGTCGTCATTCGTTGCGGTCGCTAACGTAAGGAGGAGGAGGAGGAGAAGGATGGTGGGATGAAGAGGAGGACGATGGATGATGATGCTTATGATGATGATGATGATGATGATGATGATGATGATGATGATGATGATGATGATGATGATGATGATGATGATGATGATGATGATGATGATCATGATGATGATGATGATGGTGATGATGCTGATGGTGATGGTGGTGATGGTGGTGGTGCTGGTGAGGATGACGAGCAAGCGAGCGCACGCAGAAATTCGGCGAGGACGCCGAAAACGACGGTTACGATGATATCGGCGGTTGTGATGATGGCGACGACAATGGTCATGATGATGTTGAGGATGGCGATGATTGCGATTGCGACGATGGCGCTGGCGATGATGATACCGATGATAGCACTTGTGCTGACGAGGATATGAGAAAGTGCGAGCTCGTAGACAATCAGAACCTGTGGCGTAATCGTTTGACGATCCATTGGGACTTCGCACGTGCTTGAACACGTCGGTGTCGCTACGCCAAGAACACATATGTGTCGTTGGTAACATTCCGAACATGTGGCCCGCATCGTAAGCCTCGACAGTATGTAGATGTGTGTGAAAGTGTGCGCGCAGAAATCTGGCAACCTTACGTTGGACGACTTCTGGTTGACCACCCAGCAACCTAACAATATGCTGCAACGGACTCTTAAAGACATGGCTTCTTAGATCAACGCATGTGCACCACATAATGATACTCGACAAGGATGACGGGGGATGCCTCGAATGGCGTTGGCTGGCATGCTATCATCTGATGCAAATTAGGATAAGCGGTCGTACAACATACATACGAAAAGAAAAACACCCGACCCTTCGAGGCTCGTGAAACGCTTTTCCGTTTGAGTCCTCGTCGTCGTCGTCACCAGTCCCAAAGAAATTGGGGAACAAGGAATAGGAACGTCGCAGGTCAGTCGATTCCCTTCCCTTTGTCCGTTCCATGCTGGGGAAAATCCGTTCCCTGGCAACCTGGTTCACTCCCCCGTTGAAACTTCTGAAGCAGAAGCTCCTCGGCAGCTTCCAAGGCGCTCCTGGGCAGCTTCTAAAGCGTTCCCTGGCAGCTTCCAAGGCGCTCACTGGCAGCTTCCAAAGCGCTCCTCGGCAGTTTCTACGGCGCCCTTTGGGCAGCTTCTCAAGCGCTGAGTGGCACTTTCTGAAGCGCTCCTTGGCTGGTTCTACGGCTCTCGTTGGCAGGAGCCCCCAGGAGCCCCACGAAAAACTTGAAGGATGCCGAGGAACTCAAGGGAATAAATCGGAATCCCGTGGAATTAATAGGATTTCCCAGAACTCTTTACGAAACCCCAAGAATCCGTAGGTCGCTTCAGGAATTCCCAACCATCCTGTGGTGTTGGGTCCTCGTTTTGAAGAGAAGGTGCCCCGCGTTCCTCTCCTCTCCTCTCCTCTCCTCTCCTCCTCTCCTCCCCTCCTCTCCTCCTCTCCTCTTCACCCACCCAGTACACCGTGTCGTGGCTCCATAGGGAGCTCCACCGAAGGCCCCAGTGCCCGCGCCCGCATGCGTCACCCACACCCATTTCGGCACACCCCTCACACGCTTCGTGGCTCCATAGGGAGCTCCACCGAAGGCCCCAGTGCCCGCGCCCGCATGCGTCACCCACACCCATTTCGGCACACCCCTCACACGTTTCGTGGCTCCATAGGGAGCTCCACCACACGTTGCGCATTTCGGCACACCCCTCACACGTTTCGTGGCTCCATAGGGAGCTCCACCGAAGGCCCCAGTGCCCGCGCCCGCATGCGTCACCCACACCCATTTCGGCACACCCCTCACACGTTTCGTGGCTCCATAGGGAGCTCCACCGAAGGCCCCAGTGCCCGCGCCCGCATGCGTCACCCACACCCATTTCGGCACACCCCTCACACGTTTCGTGGCTCCATAGGGAGCTCCACCGAAGGCCCCAGTGCCCGCGCCCGCATGCGTCACCCACACCCATTTCGGCACACCCCTCACACGTTTCGTGGCTCCATAGGGAGCTCCACCGAAGGCCCCAGTGCCCGCGCCCACATGCGTCACCCACACCCATTTCGGCACACCCCTCACACGTTTCGTGGCCCCATAGGGAGCTCCACCGAAGGCCCCAGTGCCCGCGCCCGCATGCGTCACCCACACCCATTTCGGCACACCCCTCACACGTTTCGTGGCCCCATAGGGAGCTCCACCGAAGGCCCCAGTGGCGGCGCTCACATGCGCATGCGTCCCGCACACCCATTTCGGCACATCCCTGACAGGTTTCGTGGCCCCATCATCCACCGGAGGCCCCAGTGGCGGCGCTCACATGCGTCACCCACACCCACCCAATTCGGCACACCCCTCACACGTTTCGTGGCCCCATAGGGAGCTCCACCGAAGGCCCCAGCGGCCGCGCTCACATGCGTCCCCGCCACCCATCCCGGCACGCCCCTCACAACAACAGGTTTCGTGGCCCCATGGGGAGCTCCACCGAAGGCCCCAGTGCTGCCGCCCGCATGCGTCACCACCCGCACCCAATTCGGCACACCCCTCACACGTTTCGTGGCCCCATAGAGAGCTGCACCGAAGGCCCCAGTGGCGGCGCTCACATGCGTCCCCGCCACACATCCCAGTACACCCCTCACGCGCTTCGTGGCCCCATAGGGAGCTCCACCGAAGGCCCCAGTAGCGGCGCTTACATGCGTCTCCGCCACCCATCCCGGCCCCCCCCCCCCCGCAGCAGCATCATGTTTCGGGGACCCATAGGGAGCTCCACTGGAGGCCCCAGTGGCGGCCCGCACATGCGTTTCCGCCACCCATGTCGGCACGCCCCGCGCGTGTTTCATGTCCCCATAGGGAGCTTCGCCGAATGCCCCAGTGGCACCCATCTCGGCACACCCCTCACACGTTCCGTAATCCTATGGGGAGTTCCATTGAAGATGAAACCCGCAGCTGCGGTACTGATAACTGCATATGGTTGGGTTCTTCGCCAGGCTAACTGTTTGTTTTGGGATCTTCAGGAAACTACTCGGGTTCCGTAGGAGCCCTCGGAACCCTCACGGATCCTCAAGAATCTTCTGGAGTCCTCAGGAGTCCCCAAGAACCCATACGAACTCTTATGAGCTCTCACGGATCCTCGGGGATCCTCGATCCTCGGGGGTCCCCCGGAGTCCTCAAGAATCCATTGGAATCTTTACGAATCCTTACGAATCCATACGAGCCCACAGAGATCCTCGGGGATCCTCTGGTATCCTCACGAATCCTCAGGGATCATAGGAAATCCCAAGGAAGCATCAGGGATCCTCAGGAATCCTTGAGGACAGGGATCCTCAGGAAACCGAAGGAATCCTCAGGGACCCCTGACCCTCTGGACTCCTCAGGGATCCCGAGGAATCTTCTGGAATCCTTACTGATCCTCAAGGACCCCCAACGATCCTCAATAACCCCTATGAATCATCTAACAATCTATAGGAATCCGCAGGAATCGGAAACCGGGGAGATCCTCAGGAATCCTCGGGGCTCCTCAGAAATCCATAAGCGCCCTCAGGAAGAATCCTCCGGGATCCTCAGGAATCCTTTGGAGGAATCCCCCTGAATCCTCAGGGATCCGTCACGGATCCTGCGAAATCCGTTTGGAATCATTGGGATTCCTTGGGAATCCTTAGGGACCCTCGGGGGTCCCCACGAACCCATTGGAATGAGATCGTCCGGAATCTGAAGGGATCCGTCAGGAATCGGGAGGAATCCATCAGGTATCGTCAGGAATCCTTGGGCGTCCCCAGGAGGTTCTCTCGAATAACCAGGGATCTTCAGTGACCCTCAAGGATCCTCATGGATCCTAGAAAGGATCCCTCAGGGATCCTCGGGGGTCCTCAGGAATCCGCCGGATCGTCAGGCATCCTCGGTGATCCCCAGGGATCCTCAGGGCTCCCCAAAGATCCTGGGGATTCCGGAATCCGGAGGAACCCTCAAGATTTCTCAGGACGCATGAGGAAATCGAGGGAATCCGAAGGAATCATCAAGAATTCGGGGGATCCTCAAGAAATCTTAAGAATCCTCCTGATACCCTCGGGATCCTCAAGGATCCTCTTGAACCGGTCGAAGGCCGTCTTGGAGGCCTTTTAATTCCCAACCATCCTGTGGTGTTGGGCCCTTGTTTTGAAAAGACGGTCACCGTGTTCCTCATTCCTTCCTTCCTTCCCTCCTTCCTTCCACCTCCCCCTCCTCCACGTCCTTCTCCCATCATCATCAGCATCATCATGAGCCTCATCATCATCGTCATCATCATCGTCATCATCATCATCATCATCATCAGCATCATCATCATCATCATCATCATCATCATCATCATCATCATCATCATCATCATCATCATCATCATCATCATCATCATTATCACCCGTTTCAGCATACCCATTACACGTTTCGTGGCCCCATAGGGAGCTCCACCGAAGCCCAAGTGGCACAGCCCACATGCGTCACCCCCATCAAGTACAGCGTTTCGAGGCCACATAGGAGCTCCACCGAAGGCCCCAGTGGCACCGCCCGCATGCGTCACCACCCGCCACCCCCCACCCAGTACAGCGCTTCGTGGCTCAATAGGGAACCCCACCGAAGGCCCCAGTGGCACCGCCCGCATACGTCACTCCCACCCACTACAGCGTTTCGCGGCCACATAGGGAGCTCCACCGAAGGCCCCGTGGCACCGCCCGCATGCGTCACACCCATCCAGCACAACGCTTCGTGGCCCCATAGGGAGCTCCACCGAAGGCCCAGTGGCACCGCCCGCATTCGTCACCCCCCACCCAATACAGCGTTTCGCGGCCACATGGAGAACTCCACCGAAAGCCCCAAGCGGCACCGCCCGCATGCGTCACCCCTACCCAGTACAGCTCTTCGTGGCCACATC